GAGCCTTACAATTTATTGGCTGGGTCCAGCACTATCAGAGGAGGCCCAGACCCCAAACAGGCACAGAGCCATAAATAGCCTCTTATCATGAAAACATCACGTCCTCRTGGCCGTGGCTGTGACACAGCTCGGACAGGCCCTGCTCTGGCACAGCAGAAGCTGCTCCCAGCCCTCAGCACGTATTTGGCTCTCCTGTCCAAAATCCCAAGCACAGTTTGGCTGCTTTTCACTCTGTGGCTCAGGGTTCTTGTCACACACGTGTGTCACGCCTGTGCCTCTGTGTTCCCCACACACAGCGGGGTGGTGGCAGATCTGCTGCCCTGAAATCAGAGTCACAGCAGGGAAGGGGACACTGCTGAGCTTTTGGGGTCCCCTCAGGGAAGGCCCAGCTCCACCCTGAGCTGGAAAATCACAGAATCCCAGAATGGTTTGGGTTAGAAGGGGCCTTAAAACCCATCCAGTGCCATCCCCTGCCATGGGCAGGGATACCTTCCACTGTCACAGGTTGCTTCAAACTCCATCCAGCCTGGCCTTGGACACTGCCAGGGATCCAGGGGCAGACACAGCTTCTCTGAGCACTCTGTGCCAGGGCCTCATCACCTTCACAGCCAGGAATTCCTTCCCCACATCCCACCTATCCCTGCCCTCTGTTCATTCAAAGCCATTCCCTGTGTCCTGTCCCTCCATCCCTTGTCCCAATTCCCTCTCCAGCTCTCCTGGAGCCMCTTTAGGCTCTGGAAGGGGCTCTCAGGTCTCCCTGGATCCTTCTACAGGTGAATCCCCCAGCTCTCCCAGCCTGGATCCAGCCCTTGAAGCATGTCCATGGCCTCTCCAGCAGCTCCATGTCCTTCCCATGCTGGGACCCAGAGCTGGAGGCATCACCACAGGGAGGGTCTCACAAGGTTGGTGTAAAGGGGCAAAGAACACAGAAAAGGGGCAAGGAGAAAACAGCTGCCAGCCTGAATCTGACCAGCTTTYTCCTCTTCCTATCAGGTCAGCAGCTCCCTTCCTCCTCAGAAAGGCCGTGACCCCAAAGAATGACACCACATGTCTCTGACAGCCAGACAGTGTCACCACCAGCTTCTGCAGGGCAAAACCATCCCTTGTCATCCTGGCACGACCAGGACTCCCCGTGCTCGGTGCTGTACGAGCCCAACAAAGAGAATGCAGGGATCAAAGATATCCTGCTGTGATGGAGAGGAGCTGCAGAGGGATGAAGGGCCGAGATGCTGGTAGGAGCAGCCATCAGCCCTTGTCCCTGAGCAGGCCCAGGATGTGCAGGCAGTGTCCATCCCCTGTCCCTGAGAGGGGCCAGTGTCCCTGACAGTGTCCATCCCCTGTCCCTGGCAGTGTCCATCCCCTGTCCCTGAGAGGGGCCAGTGTCCCTGACAGTGTCCATCCCCTGTCCCTGGCAGTGTCCATCCCCTGTCCCTGAGAGGGGCCAGTGTCCCTGACAGTGTCCATCCCCTGTCCCTGAGCAGGCCCAGGCCGTGCAGGCAGTGTCCATCCCCTGTCCCTGAGCAGGCAGTGTCCCTGGCAGTGTCCATCCCCTGTCCCTGACAATGTCCATCCCTTGTCCCTGACAGTGTCCATTCTCTGTCCCTGAGCAGGCCCAGGCCGTGCAGGCAGTGTCCATCCCTTGTCCCTGACAGTGTCCATTCTCTGTCCCTGAGCAGGCCCAGGCCATGCAGGCAGTGTCCATCCCCTGTCCCTGACAGTGTCCATCCCCTGTCCCTGGCAGTGTCCATCCCCTGTCCCTGAGCAGGCAGTGTCCCTGGCAGTGTCCATCCCCTGTCCCTGACAATGTCCATCCCCTGTCCCTGGCAGTGTCCATCCCCTGTCCAGCAGCCCGGCGAGCACGGCAGCACAATGGCCGTGCCTGCACCGTGCCGGAGCGGAGCCAATGGCTACGGGAGGCACAGGGAGAAATGCGCTTCATGTGCTGCATGGGAGGGACGGGGAGGGAGGGGAGGGGGGAGGCGCAGACAAAGAACAGGGAGATGGAGAGAAAAGACGCAGGCAGGGAGCAGAAGGTGAAGCGGGGAGGACGGGGCTGGGGGAGGCGCGTGCGTGGAGCCCCTCGCAGGCCAGAGCAGAGGAACGGGCAGCCAGGCCCGGCGAAATGAAAATCTCTTAACCACACACAATTGTTAACTGCCCCCAAATCCTTTTGTGCTGGGGCTGCGAGCTTAGAAGAGCTTAAGCTGTTAGATGCATGAACTTCCTCCATAAATATCCCTTGTGCACACTGCCGCGAGCAGGCTGCTGCGCTATTAGCCAGATGAAAAACCCAGCGGAGAAAATGAGCAACCCTGGCCAGCTGCACAGAGGGATTGTCCATTCCTTGGGATGTCCTTCTCCACCCAGACCCCTTGGTGGGGCAGGACCGTGTCCCCCCATGCTCCTGTTTGGGCGCCGCAGTGTGTGTGAGAACTTCGCCCCGAAAGCCGGCTCGGATTTGCTTTTGTTTTGCTTCTGGAAAGGGGCCCAGACTCCCTCCCACCCCTGGAAACACGAGCAAACCTGCCAGCCACATGTAGGAGTGAATCCCCCCAGCCACTCCAGGGGGACCGGGAGTAGGGACCGGGTGGGGACACAGGGACACAGGGACACGGGGACACATCCCGCAGGTCCTTCCCGAGCTGAGCTGGGGYCACCAGCCCCTTCCCCACCCTCTGTGGGGCTCACAGGATGGGGATGGCAGGGCTGCCCTGCCAGCTCCCTGGCTGGCTCTCCTCCCACTCCCTGCTCCTTTTCTGGGGCTGCCAGGGGAAATGGAGGGGGTGTCCCACTCTGGTACAATCCTGGGGTACCAGGAAATGGAGAGGGTGTCCCAGTCTGGTACAGTCCTGAGGTCCCATCCAGCCCTGATTCCACCCTATATGAGAAGGGGAAGAAGGAAAAGGGAAGACAAAGGCAAAGAGGGAAAGGGAAAGAAGAGGGGAAGAGGAAGGGGAAGGAAAGGGGAAGAGGAAGGTGAAGGGGGAGGGGAAGGTGAAACGGAAGGGGAAGGGAAAGGGGAAGCAGAAGTGAAAAGGTGAGGAGAATGGGAAGGGAAAGGGGAAAGGGAAGGAGAAGGGGAAAGGGAATGGGAGAAGGAGGAGGGGAATGGGAAGAAGAAGCGAAAAGGAAAAGAAAAAGGGAGGGGGGAGGGGGAGGGGAAGGAGAAAGGGAAGGGAAAGAGGAAGGGGCAAGGAAAAGGAAAAGGTAAGGGGAAGGGGAGGCAGCCCCGGAGGCAGCTGCCCCATGGAGACGATGGGCCACTGGCCACGGCGTGATTAATGAGGGCGGGGAGTGCGGGGCCGGCGCACGCCAGCACCGGCTGCAGAAACAGCTGCCGAGGTACCGGACCTCCCAAAATCCTGCGGCTGCCCAGACAAAGGGGGGACCRGCCTCTCCCTCCTGCTCGCTCCCTCCGCTTCAGCCCCCACTCCAGCCCTGCGGGGACACAGGGAGCACCAGGACATGCGAGGGGACTGTCCCTTGGCTGGGCTGGCAGTGGCACCGGGGAGCATCCCCAGAAACGCCGGCTGCACAACAGCAAAGCACTGCACAGGGTCTGCTCAGGAACAAACAGGCTGAGATGGAAAAACTGCCATGAATCATTGGGGCTTTCTGGTGCTGCTACGGATGCTTCACTTGGGACTTTTAAAAGCCCCCGTCCGCCCTTGGAGGCAGGGATTAGCCAGGCTCAGTTTCCAGCAGTATTTCCTGCTGTCCCCATCCCCATCCCGGCTAAGGCTGGAAGACACTTGATCTGCCCGAGCTCGGTGGGAAGGGGCGTTCAGCAGCTGAATGAGAAGTAGCTGAAATCAGGGATATTAAATGATCCCCACAGCACAGCAGGACCTGAATTCACCAGCAGCAGACACGGAGCCCTTCCCAAGGGGATCATACAGCCCACAGTCCCTACTGAGCACAGCCAGACTGTCTGTTCCCCTCTCCAGTGTGTGTTTCCCCCTGCCAGCACCTTCCCCAAGCTTGGTTCAACCTGGCYACCCCTTCACAGGCAGAAGAGAGGAGACACAGCTCCTCCCTTGGCTCTGCAGTGGCCACTGCTGTATCTATAATTGATCTCAGAGAAGCCCTGGCTCTGCTCAGAGTGTGCCGATGCTATCAGAACCACAGTGGGATTTGGGATTTGTTCAGCCAGGAYAGGGGGAAAATGATCCTGTTTGCCAAACTCTGTGCTCCACATTTATCACAGCCACAGGTAACCATCACACAGCTCTCAGGTCCCCACCTCCCTCCCAAAAGCCACTTTCTCAATCTTTCTGAGCCCACGTGTGACTGGGCAGGAGCACACAGATCAGGGAGGGGCTATGGAGCCTCTTGCTGGCCTGGGACCACACTGGCTCCATGGTGTTGAGCTGAGCTCAGCAGGGACTTGTGGAGTCTGCTTTGAACATCTAGAGGGGCAGGAGAACATCTACGGAGGCAGGACATTTATAGGGAGAGGAACCTCTGGCTGTTGAGGAGCCCAGGGGCCAGGCAGCCCTGAAGAGCCCATGGCTGTGTCCCATCCTGGGCCATTTGCACCTCACCAGGAAAACGCTGTAGGGTGGGGAATGCAGCTTTCTCTGTCCCACTGCACCCTTTTGGGAGCCTGCAATCCCACTGCCCTCATCCCAGAAACCATCCAGCCCGCACCAAGAATGGGCACAAACCAACAGGAAAACAGCCCCAGTATTTTGGGAGGCAACTGCAGATCRGTGACACGCACCACACGTGTGTCCATCCAAAATGTGGAGAGCACAGATGGCACCAGCAACAGGAGCCAGCCCTAAACTCAGTGGCTCTGGGGATCCAGAGGTCACACAGAGCCTTTGCAATGGATGGATGAGCCCAGGGAAGGAAGTGAGGAGCTGGGRAAGGAGTCACTCCACAMACGCCCCTCTCCCACCCCTCCCAAWGCRGTTCATGCAGGTCCCTGAYGCAAATCCCGAGTGCCCCCAGCAGCAGCGAGGCGATGCAGGAGCCAGCCCAAGGGCTGTGGTTACCTCTGCAGATGGTCCCGTTCTCCACTGACTCATAACCAGCCCGGCACATGCAGCGGCCGATGGGCACCAGCCACTCGCCATCACCATTGCAGTACAGCTTGATGGGCACATCCACCTCCTCGGCGTTGGCAATGCACGTCCCCCTGGCTGCCACCAGCGAGGTGCTCTCCGCTCCCGACAGCGTCTCCTGGAAGATGGCCCCGTTCTGGATCACACGGGGACATTTGCGGTAGAAGACACGGACGGCAATCAGAGACATGCAGCCCCCGTAGTCCTGGAAGGCCAGGTAGAAACCGTTCTTGGAGACAGGCCCAAAACTGCGCACCTCAGTGTTGATCTTCATCACCCGTCCACCTAGGTCCACCTGGGAGAAGCTCTCGTCAGCAGCAATTGTGTCCACCTTCATCCAAGGATTCTCCATCCAGTTAGGGAAAGTCTTGGTGGCCGAGTCAAAGTCTGACTCGAAATAGTACAGGTTAAAAGTCTCCTTACAGGAGCCTGGGACATTGGGGATGCTGCTGCAGTCCCGGACAGAAAATTTCATCTCCACGTGGATGCGGTGTGCCCCGCGCCTSCGGATGTACTTGGTGCGGAGCCAGTTGTTCTGGCTGGATTCGAAGACGTTGCACACCTGGTAGGTGCGGATSGTGTTCATGTTCTCATCGTAGCCACTCACCTCTTCCCACTGCGACCAGGACACAGTCAGTCAGGGGCTGCACTCAATGGATGCTCCCCACCCTCCCTGSCTCTTCCCAAGCCCACTCTGTGCCCACCCCATCCCACAGGTTGTCCCAGAGTGCCCAGCACTCATCCCAGCCCCGCAGGAGCTCTGTACCTGCCTGGGCAATGTTTGACCCATGCCATGCCCCAGGCAGGCTCCACACTGTGGGGAAAAGTTGAGCACTGTGCTCGCTCCATGCCCAGGGTCAAGCCTCTCTGCTGGTGGTGGGACAGCAGGGCCACTGCTCTGCAGAAAAGGCTTTAGCAGGGAGTGTGCCCACAGCCACTCTGCATGGCTGTGCCTCTGGCCAAGGAACACGGGGTCTATAGCACACAGATTCCCACCAGTGCCACCATGGTTACAGATGTGGCACACAGGATGTGCTTCCTCACAAGCCATAAAACCTCCTGGCTGGCTGCAGCCAGTGCCTATTCCTAGGGAGGGGACCATGGCCAACTCCACCGTGTTCCCAGCAAGGGAGATGCTGGCTACGGGAGCCCTCATCCCTGCCCCTTCAAGGGTCAGCTGCTTTGGGGTTTTTCTCCAGCAGCTGTGTGCAGGTCCCAGCCCCAGCTGTCCTAGACTGGATCTGTGGGATGCAGACAACCCTACAAGCCGTGCCGTGACAGCAACATCCTTCTCAGCAAGACAGCCCAGAGCTGACAGATTTCCCCATGGGAAGYTCTGCCCAGCTCCCCGCAGCTAACAGACTCTGCCAGCTCTGGAGGAAGCTCTGTAGAGCTCACAGAATTATAGAATAGAAGAGAATATCCTGAGCTGGAAGGGATCCATAGGGATCATCAAGTCATCCTCCTGGCCCTGCCCAGGACACCCCAACAATCCCACCCTGTTCCTGAGAGCGCTGCCCAAACGCTCCTGGAGCTCTGGCAGCTTTGGGGCCATGCCCATTCCCTGGGGAGCCTGGGCAGTGCCCAGCACCTTCTGCGGGAAGAACCTTTCCCTGAAATCCAGTTTAAACCCCCTTGACACAGCTCCAGCTGTTCCCTTGGGTCCCCACAGAGCTCAGAGATGCTGTGACATCTCCTGGCCTTCTCCAGCTTTCTGCCCTTTCCCCAGGCTGTTTTTTCCCAAATCSTCCAGCACTTGCTGTCTCCATCCTGTCTAGGATGGGGATGGTTTAGGGTGGGGAATGCAGGACATGAGCTGCAGTCTGTAACCAGCCCCTCTGCAGGGAGCACTAAAAGGGAAGGGTCTATGTGGGAGGAGAGCTCTCAGCTCACAGAGCAYCTTCCCCAGCCCAGCCCCTGCCAGAGTGCAGAGCATCTCCCTGCATTCCTGTCCCCACCCAGGGCACTCATGTGACACTGGCAGCAGGGAGCAGGGTCCTGCTGGCGTGTGACACAGTCCTGGCCAGCTGGAACTGCTCCTCCTCAACTTGTTCACAAAGCTGCTCATGTGGAAGCCGAGCTGTTTGCCATGGACGTGACACCCCAAGCACAACCCTGCCCTAGCTGCAGGATCACAACACCCAAGGCAGGGCAGCAGCACTGCCCAGATCCAGCACAGTGCCAGGAGCAAATCCAGGGAAAATCCTGTGGGAGCAGAGCACCCCCAGCCCATCAGGTTGTAAACGGCCTCACAAGGGCACCCAGGACTGGGGAGGGAGGCTCMGGGGATGGGAGACAGATTGCTCCTCACACATCAAGGCTCACAGCCCAACAGAAGGCTGTCAGGGAAGATCCCCAACAGCTCCAACCACTTCAGATTGGCAGTGGCTGCAAATCTGCTGCCAGGGCTGGGGGACGAGAAGAGCATCCTTGCAAAACACAGCGGGAGCATTTGCTTTGTTTTCCAGAAATAAATTTGGTGYGTTAGTAGAAAATTGCAGGATCTCCCTGTTTTTCAGGGCACTGGTTGGGAGGGGAGTGAGGGAATCAAGGACAAGGCATGCAGAAGCAATTCCTTCCCCTGCCCTGCCTCTGATGTGGCTCTGCCTCACCTGGGCTAGTCCAGACACCCACCATGGCAGCCCCCAAGACCCAGGGGTCCCAGGACCCTCCATCCTCACCCAAGGWGGGTCAGGACCAGAGGGCTCAGCCTTGGTGAGGCAGGAGCAGCACAAGGTGGAATGAGGGTCTCCAGGGCTTGGGCTGAGCAGGAGATGGGCAGGYAGGACTTGGGGACATCTGTGAATGGCACAAGAGCTTCAGAGCCAGACAAAAAAGCAACTGTTTGGGCTTTKGGGTCTCTAATAATCCCCAAAAAGGAGCACACAGCAGCTTCTGTCTTGCAGGCAATGCTGGCTGCACCCAGCCTGGCCAGCCACCCCTGGGTGGGATGTGATGCCTTGTCCTGCCCGTGGGCACGGAGCCATGGAGGCACCGCAGCACCGTCACCCATGATGTGCCCACATCCCCCCAAGAGCCCTGCCGGAGGTCAGGAGACAATCCCACCAACCACAGGGACTGCACTGCATCCAGACAGGCATYTCCATCCCAGGGGGGCACCTGGAGCACCCCAAGGCCAGGCTCAGGACGCCCAGCACCCTCCCCATCCCTGAGGCAGCGAGGGCTGGCTCCCTGCTTCCCTTCTCCCAGATGGGAGAGAAAGTCACCCCTGCGCGCCAGCCCCTGCGCTTCCTCGATGCTTAATTAGAAGCCTCTCCCTTTCTCCCGGCTCTCTAATTAACATGCCGGGAGCTCAAAAGAAGGCAGCAGCACAATAACCCGGGGAGACGGCTTCCAGCAGGCCCCGGCCTCATTACGGCCGGGCTGGGGAGCGGGAGCAGGGCGTGCTTTACATATGGAAACACGGCAAACAAGAAAGGCTGGGCCAGGAGAGAAGAAGACTTGACCTCTGCTCCCCGTCATTGTGTGCCCGTCATCCCCCTCGTTGGGTGCTGGCGGGGCTGGGGCAGCTCTGCTCTTTATCATGGTGATGGGAGCGCCCGCGCCCGGCGACACCGCGGCCACGCTGCTCCGGCTCGGTTTAATCTCCCCACACCAGGCTTTTCTTGGCYGTTTCTTTTCTTCTGCCAAGTCGGCTCGGATCGGGGGCATGCTGTCAGCCCGGGGGTGAGAGCCACGGAAACGTCTTCATCCAGCCCCTGCCGAGGGTGGGTGGAAGGCAGGACGGAGCCTGGGCCACCACCGCCATGCACAGGCATGGGTGGCATCTCCWGGCTTTGGCCAGGCTGGGTTGGGCCACCCAAGTGTGGGGAGCAGGTCTGGGGGGCTMAGGCACTGGGGCTGCTGCTGGTCACTGCAGCCAGAGCTGGGCAGGGTGCTCTGAAGCACCTTGAYGTGGGACAAGGAGGTGGCTCCACTCTGGTTTTCTGTCACGAGCACAAGGGTGCARAGATCTCAGAATCACAGAATGTTCTGAGTTGAAAGGGACCCACAGRGATCATCCAATTCCAMCTCTGTCCCTGCACAGACACCCCARCAATCCCACCCTGTGCATCCCTGGCAGCGCTGTCCAAACRCTCCTGGAGCTCTGGCAGCCTCRGGGCYGTGCCCATTCCCTGGGGARCCTGGGCWGTGCCAGCAYCCTCTGGGGACAGAAGAACCTGATGCTCTGCCCTGCCCAAGCTCTTCCTGAAAGGAGCTGGTTCAGGGTGGTCCTGGGGTGTGGCTCYGGGGGTACCTGGCCCTGGTGAAGCAGTCAGTTCTCCTGGAACAGCAGATGTCCCTCTGTGGGATGCCAGGGACGCTGGGCAGTCCTTTCAGGACCCGAGCCCAATGCCCTCACCCTCCTACAAGTGACAGGTAATGGAGTAACCAGTGAGTCACTGGGGACAAATGACGGTGGCCTTGGCATTTTGTTTCCTCCCCTCCTGCTTTTTAGGTGCCTGCAGGCCAGCTCTATGGAGAGTATGATTCTTCAAGCACCACTCAGGTTTGACTCTGTGGGGTGGGAATGACATCCCTTCCACACTGGGGTATTTTTGGAGCATCATCTCCTAGAAAACTACTGGAAACCTCAACTGACACCTTCTTTTGTGCTCTTCCCACATGCTCAATGCACTTTGCTTCAGTGCCTGACTTCTGCTGAGCCCAGCCTGCCACAATCMCATCCAGCAGACCCCAGAGCTGCTCAGGGCCCCCAGGAGGTGATGCCTTACCCCTGATGGAGGATGCACCGTCCAGCCCAGCTCTGCTGTCGCCGTAGTGGAGTCCATCAGTGTCTCTGTGGAAGGAAGGGGAAACAAGAGTCACTGGGTGCTGATGAAAGGATTGAAGATGGAGACAGGGATAAAGGCTGAGAGGAGCCAGCCAGGGTTGCAGGGCTGGAGCCCAGCCCTCACTGAGCCTGAGGTCTCAGCCAGCAGGGAGCCAGGTCCTGTCCCCTGCACCTGTCTGCCCCCACTGCTCCTGCCCCATGCAGAATCATGCAGTCACACAACTGTTAATGCTGGCAATGATCTCAAGACCATCAAGTCAAACTAGCCCAGCACCAACACCATGCTCACCATTAAACCAAGTGCCCAGCTGCCACATCCACACATTCCTTGAACACCTCCAGGGACGGTGATTCCAGCACCGCCCTGATCCAATGCCTGGCCACCCTTTCCATGAAGGAATTTTCCCAATATCCAGTCTAAATGTTCTCAGACACAACTGGAGGCTGTTTCCCCTTGTCCTGTCCCTTGTTCCCTGGGAGCAGAGCTCAACCCCACCCTGGCTGCACTCTACTGTCAGGGAGTTGTGCAGAGCCAGAAGGWCCCCCAGGAGCCTCCTTTTTCTCCAGGCTCCCTCAGCCACTTGTGGTGCTCCACCCCCTTCCCCAGCTCCATTCCCTTATCTGGAAATGTTCCAGCCCCTCTCAATGTCTTTATTTCACAAAGGGCCCAAAACTGACCCCAGGATTTGAGGTGGGACTTGGATGTGCCCAGCACAGGCAATGTCTTCTGCTGTGAATGGAATGAATTCCATCCATCAGCCCAGCCACATTTTCCTCCTCTGAATCCCAAATCTGGGTGCCCTCAGCCCAGAGCAGTTCTACCCCTATAGATGAGGAGCAGCCTGAGCAGGGATCCTCCATCCCCTTCYAGTTTCCTTTGCAAAAGCAGGATATTTTTTTCTCAGCACTTTGCACAGTAGGGAGAATCCTTGGAGACACAGTAGGACGTGGGAAGGAACAGCTCTTTTAGGACTTAAAAGTACTAAAAAATTAAACCCCTGTTAAAGCTGGTTTTCCAGATGATTTGGGTTGAAATAAGTCAGGTGATGCCTCCACCAACCAGCACAAAGTCCTCCTAAGCCTCGCCAGAGCAAAGAATCCTCATCCTTCCTGCAGCCCATCACACTTCCAGCACAGCAATTCTTTTCATCCAGAGTAGGTCGGTTTAACTCCACTGATGGCAAAAGAAGGGATGGTCAGGCTATGGTTCCCCAACACTTGGGCCAACAGGAGCAGGTGAACATGCCTGCCAGCCCCATCAGAAATACATGGAACAGACACTTGGAATTGTGGAATCGTTAAGGCTGGAAAAGYCATCTGAGATCATTGAGTCCAATCATTATTGCAGCACCACCATGTTCAGCACTAAACCATGTCTCTAGCACACCTACACACTTTTTTAACACTTCCAGTGAGTGTTCAAAAGTGGTTTTTTGACATTTCCATGAGTGGTTTCCACAGTCTGGGTAACTCTCTATCCTCCAGGTCTATAGCCACACACTCATTGCAATACAGAGATCTTTCTGCACTACACCCAAGTTTAAGAGAACAGGACAACATTCCAGAGTTTGGGAAATGGAGTTTAGAAATTCTGCCCCAAGGTCTGAGCACACTGAGGCTGGACATCAGGACAGTGTGGTGGGACAGACTGCACAGGGCAACACATGGCCAGGGATTCTGTGGGAGACCAAGRTGATGCCCAGAGAGGAAATTCTGTCCCTCTGCTCTCTAGGCAGAATGTGAATCTGCCCCTGAGTTAAGCACATGACCTTGGGGATGCCAACTGTGCTTACAGGCATGCTGGGAAGTGTCCATTCCACACCCACAGAGTTCCAGAATGGTTGGGGTTGGGAGAAACCTTCAAGACCACCCAGTCCCACCCTCCTGCCTTGGGCAAGGACACTTTCCACTATCCCAGGTTGCTCCAAACCCCATCCAACCTGGCCTTGGACACTGCCAGGGACAGTCCCAGAATGGGAATGGTTACTGGATGTAACCACATCCTTCTGCTGGCTCGCCCCACCAGAAAACCAAGCATTCTGCCACGAATCCCCCAAGAGCATCTCCATCTTCTCCTCTTTCACTCCATTGAACAAAAACAAAGGAAGGAAAGCTCAGCTTGGGCAGACCCATCACTGAAGAGCCAGGCCTGGATGCAGAGGTGACACTGCTCAGTGCATGTGACCTCCCCTTCCCCACTGGGACCCCAAAAAGTGCCTCGATAGCACTGTGCTCCCTGCACCTACTCCTAGCAGTAAATCCTCCTCAGACTGTGGCTTGTTCATTACTCCTGGTTCGAGCCAGCGGTTTCCAGTTCACAGGAAACCAGGATTTCAAAATTTGGTTTTATTCCAAGAGTAAAAAAGCAAAAAATAGTTCTTTTCAATTTTTCTCACTAGGAAGAGTTCTGGAAAACAGCTAATCCCGAAATGTTGTGGGTCAAATTTACAAAATTTCTTTTTAAACTGAATATTTGTTTACATAGGGCAATAACAGTGTTTATTTTATCAGAGGATCTGGCTTTTTCATTAAAACACCAGTGGYGTTTGATCTGAAAGGAAAACAACATTTTTCACCCAGTGCTAGCAAGAAGCTTTAAAACCCCCTTAAATTTGTTACTTTATCTTAACTATCAATGACACTGGTGCATAGTAAGTACATTAATAGGAATTACTATAATGGAAAAGAAGATATATTCTAAGCCATTACAAATAATTCCCCAAATAAACTTCATATTTTGAAGCATTTTGCGTTTTTAAAAGCCTTGTATTTAATGAAAACTTTGTGCAGTGGAAATGTTGTGCTTGGTGTACCACTGCCCCCAGCCCCTTCTCCTCAAGTGAAGGGTCCCCTTGGAGCTCTGCATCCACCCTGGCTGGCCCAGGGACAAGGAGGAGAAGAAATTTGCAGGTTTTAAGCAAGATTTTCCAATGGCAAATTATCTTCCCATAAAAAAACACCAGATATTCCATTAATTTTAGTCTGGATTTACACCATTTGGCTGCCAGCTATTGGATTTCCTTTTCCTTCTACAAAGACCCTGCAGTCCAAAACCTCCTTTCCCTCTTGTGGTGCTCACGGGTGGCAAATGATCCATCTCCAAGACAGCTAAATTAGCTCAGCTTCCTTCCTCTTGCTCSCCAAACCAGGTTCCTGTCTTTGAGGCTCCTGTTTATCAGCCTTCATCGTGCAGGGGGTCCCAGGGCCATGGTCCCTATTGCACACAGCTCAATGTGCCCCTTTTGACACAGTTTTCACATCAAGTTGCTTCCCTGGCTGCAGTAATTTTGGAGATGGAGTTACACTGAGCAGGGGGTGCCTGAATTACAGAAAATTGAGAATAACCTATCCCTGTGAAGCACAGTGACCCTGCAGGGTCAGCACAAGTGGATGTGAATCAGAATTGTGGAACCACAGAATGCTTTGGGGTGGGAGGGGTCTCAAAGCCCACCCAGCCCCACCCCTGCCATGGGCAGGGACACCTTCTGCTAGCCCAGGGTGCTCCAAGCCCATCCAAACTGGCCTGGGACACTGCCAGGGATGGGGAGTCTGGGCGACCCCTCTGGGCCACCTGTGCCAGCTGCTCATGGACCTCTCTGTGTGACAGGTGACTTCAGGCCCCAGGAGATCATTTGGACAAAGTTCTGCCACAAGTGTGAGCTCCACACGAGGTGTGATAGGCCCCAAGGAATGGGAACCCATCGTCCTTCTGAGGCAGCTCCTCCATGTGCAGTTCCCACTGGGCTGCCCCCTGCCCCACCACTGCTGTGCCCACAGTGACCCATGGTGACCCATGGTGACCCATGGTGGGCTGCCCTCTGCCCTGTCACTGCTGTGCTCACAGTGACCCATGGTGACCCATGGTGACCCATGGTGGGCTGCCCTCTGCCCTGTCACTGCTGTGCCCACAGTGACCCATGGTGACCCATGGTGACCCACAGTGACCCATGGTGACCCACAGTGACCCATGGTGGGCTGCCCTCTGCCCCGTCACTGCTGTGCCCACAGTGACCCATGGTGACCCATGGTGACCCACAGTGACCCATGGTGACCCACAGTGACCCATGGTGGGCTGCCCTCTGCCCCGTCACTGCTGTGCCCACAGTGACCCATGGTGACCCATGGTGACCCATGGTGGCTGTCATGGCCATTTTTTCCCCAGCAGCACCTCTGTCCTCCCTGGGGCTGCCCCATGCTCACACATTGCTCTGGGCACCCAACAGGACCAACTCCTGTGCTGGGGACAACAAAGACAGACCAGTTCCTGCATGGGCAACCCCAATCCCAGCTGTCAATGCCTTGACAGCCACCTCAGCACCTTCCCTCCCTTGTCACATCCACTTCCACAGTGCCATCCTGCTGGGGTGGCAGCACCATAAGGATCCATAAGGATCCCCRTGGCACCCAGGACACAAAGCAAAGCCCCATGGCAGTGGCAGGGGTGGGAGCCTGGCCCTGACCCACCACTGGTGGCTGTGATAGCTGCAGCTCAGTGCAGTGCTCCCTCCGCAGCAGCGTCTCCTCAGTGTTGTTGTTTCTGTTCTCCCCTCCCGCGTGTTTATCTGTGGCTTCACATGYTGCCCACGGCATTATAAATAAATCTGCAGCTGCTCCAAACCAGCAGACACAGCTCTGGCCTGCTTCCCACCGGGAACCACGCTGCTCCCCACGGGACGCTCGCACATCACTGCCCAACCTCTGCACTTTGAAGATGTTTTCTCTGAGTAGCTTCCCACCAGTGCTGGGGCCTGTCCCCGGCACTGCTGGCTGCTCCAAGGGC